AGCTCGAACGGCGCGGCGCGCCTACTAGGCCATCCCCGCTCTTCGCAGCCCGCGCGCCATGCGCTCGGTGGGCTGTGCTGTGCCTTCGGCAATAGTAGGTCGGACGGACGCGCGTATTTGGCTATCTTTTAAACATTAATAATCTCGTTAACTATTGCTGACACCTCAAAATGGTACAGGACTTTTTGATTCAGTATAGGCTGTTCTACCCACGTATAACAAAAAATGCGGTAGTCGCCAAACACCCTGTATACAGCGTGTCCAGCGAGACTTTTCCAATACTCCACAGGGTGATAGATGGGATCGAAATAAACATAAAAGTCCTTTAACATTTAGCGATATCCGTAATGATAATCGAGATATTAAAGTTTGTAATTGCACTAATAAGAGCGCTCCGATAGAAAGAATAGGAACGGCTCCGGCCGCTCTCGAGGTATAGCCCGGCCCAGTTTGACAAACGATTGATGCGCAGTAGGAGAGGTAAGAGGGGAAGCGCGCCGTTTAAATAAAATTTTACGAAGTTTAGTACATTTTTTATTAAATTTTATGTAGATTTATATATAAAATTTAATGTAAGTAAACGTTAAATTTAAGTTATTTGTAACTTTATTTTCATTGACAACACATTAAATATTTTTAACGTGCCTACTTGGAACTTACTTCCATTACACGTGTGATGGATTTCATGTACATGTACACAAATATACTTTTCTCAGTTACAGATACACAAAATTTAATGTAGTCATAAAATTTAATTTCATTTTTGTAACTTAAAAGTACATTAAACATTATGTCTTTTTTAACAGTGTACGATAATTAATTATACCTCGAGAGCACAATGCTATGTCAAATATCATTGATACGGTTAATTATATAAAATAACTATGAAAGTAACTATTAAATTAGTTACTAGTTATTTAAAAGATGTAACTAAGTTAAGTTATAGTTACAGATGGAAAGAAAGTAACGAAGTTAAGTTATAGTTACTGAAAAAAAGTAACTCTAACTGTAACTTCGTTACAAGTAACGAGTTACTTTCCGTCCCTGGTTAACAACAAAGAGCTTTGGAAATTATGCAATGAAACATTACGTCTTTATTGATATTTCATCGTATTCCGATGAAATCATACTCTCCTAACCGGAAACGATAGAGAATGGTGGAGAATGATATTATTTCTTTCGGATATTTTTTTCTTAAAATTTTTTCCTTCTGATTTAAACAAGCGACAGATTACGATAAAAATTAATTCTCTCTTTCGACATTTTTACTCATCGAAGTTTATTATGGTTGGTATTTGTCCTATTTTTGCAGTGTTATTAGGTCTGTTTTTTATTGCCGCACTTTCTGAACTAGTACACATAGTGCAATAAGTTGAAGTGAAACAAATATATGTTTGTTTCACTTTAACTTATTGCACTGGTTCAGAGTGCAGCAATAAAAAACAGACCTATTATTACATATGTATTATAATGTAATCGCGAATGTACGTATCGGCCATCGCGCGAGTCTTTGGTGCGGTGCGGTGAGACGTGTGAGCGGCGATGCCGAGCGCTAAGCAACGGCGCGCTTCCTCTCTTACCTCTTCCTGCCGCGCATCAATCGTTTGTCAAACTGGGCCGGACTATACCTCGAGAGAGAGAGAGAGAGAGAGAGAGAGAG